ATGTCCCAAGTACTCCAGCTTACGGCTCTTCACAATGTTGGCCAAATCCGCGGTTGTGTTCATCCTCCGCAGTACTTCTTCATTAGTGACTTTGTCTGTCCATGGTATCTTCAGGATTCTTCTGTATAACCATAATTCAAAAGCCTGAATCCCCGTAACCGATCATCATTAAAATCTCAATTCGGTGGGCCTTAGTTAAATATTTCATTTTTATTTCTGCAAGAAATTAGTTTTTAATTAAGAATTTATTATTTTAATGTAAAATGTCAACAGCATGTCAACTGATTGATAACAATCCGCATTATTTACCGATTTAGTTTAATTAGCAGACTATCTATACAGTTTTTACCTATTCACGACAAAAATGTTAACACGGTTACTAAACAGAAATTTTGCCCAATATACAGTGTACTGACACTTAGAGTAGAAGTCTATTGTCTGTATTTAGCTAATTTAAAATAATACCATAACACGTGATAAATTATTAATTTCAAAATTTCACCTTGTATTATTCATTATAGACCCTACATGATATAGTTCATTGAAATCAGGTTGTTAAAAGTATTTTAAAAACATAAAAATATACAGGGTGTTTCATTAAAAATAAGGATTATGGACTATGTCAGACTTGCGTGGATCACCCTGTACATTTAAACTTATGTTTAAAACGCGCACATTTAAATTTAAAAGTTAACGTGTCCCAGAGTTTTTGATTATTTTTTATAATAAGGACACAAACAATTTTATTCCATAAGTGGTTTCCACACTGTATAAACCAACAGTAGGTTGGTATGATGTTGCTGACCGGTTTCTGAAAGGAATTGTGGAAACAAGGGATATAAAGAATACTTAATTGCCTTCATAGTTTTGTTATAAGTATAATAATAACATATTACAAATTAAATTCTGTCATGTTGCCATAGAACCCTTCATGCTTCAACAAAATACTGGGCAGATCTATCCCTAGACTGTGCTGCGTCTCTTGCATGATTGTAAGTTCCACATTTGTTACGCTGCGTACTCTTTTGCTTAAATGTGAGCGCACCGCTTCGTGAATGGGGCTTTAACAGACAGCTTTTTAAAGAAAAAAGCGGCATCCTCTACAATGATAAAATTATTTGGCGTATTCAAAGTGTTTTTCAATTGCCATTTTTTAAGTAGAACGACAAAGACTCCGCCATCTGATTTTCTTCCAGCAACACACCACAACACCCACGTCTAAATACATAAAACAGTAATTATGGTCCACTAAAGCAAGTAAGATTGTGCTGAAACTTTTTTTTGTAGGTATAAAACTAGCTATAAAGCTAAAGCCACTTTTTTAGGATACCTAATTATGTCGTGCTTTCCGTCAATTGCATTAACACATTCAGGGAAGTTACATCGTATTGCGAAACCACGTTACACTCATTTTCTGTTATGGGCATCTAGAACACAAAAAATATAAAATTTTCTAAAAGTTTAACAAACATGTCGTTCGTTAAGGGGCCACATTGTTTATATATAATAAATTTGTAATTGTAATAATACAACATATATAATATTATAGGCGACTTCAATGCAAAAATTGGGGAAGGTCGACGAGGTCAGAATATAGGTCCTTATGGTCTAGGACAACCTAACGATCGAGGACAGAGATTGTATGAATTTTGTAAAGAAAATGATATGATCATTGCACACCTGGTATAAACTACCCAAGCGACGACTATACACTTTTTTGCCCCATTTGATTATGGCAGTAACCCTGAGTCCTTAAGAAATCAAATAGACCATATACTTATAAATGAGCGTTTCCGAAATGCCTTCAAAAACGTCACTACATTTCCTGGGGCAGATATTAGATCTGATAATCAACCACTTGTAGCAGAGATTAAACTAAGGTTAAAACGAATTCAGCGACAAAAACCATAAACCAATGTACTTAACTTTGACGATATAAACATAAAATATAACATTAAACAAGAATTTAATTATAGAATAAAAAACATAGGAGAACAACTAGAAGATCCAGAAGAACTATGGAGTGAATTTAAAAACCAAGTTAACGAAATCTCCACGAACAATGATTATAAAAAAAACTTGGTCAAGAAAAATAAGTGGATAACAGAAGACATCTTGAAATTAATGGAACTACGTCAACTGATATAATGAAACAGAATATAGACACTTGCAGGGAAGAATAAAACAGGAGATCAAATTAGCCAAAGCAAAATGGATGAGAGAAAGGTGCGACGAAATGGATGATGTAATATCTATACACGACTTATTTAATAAGCTTCAATTAAACAGAGTCCACGTTGAGAAAGTTCACAAAATGACATATTTGGTGACTGTGATAACGGACCAACTAGATAGATAGACATAGAAATAAAACGTCGATATGAAAATGAATTGCAATAATCTTAGTTTAGAACTAAGACAAAGCATGGTTAAGTGCTATGTTCGGTCCGTAATTTTGTATAGTGCAGAAGTGTGGACGCTAAAAGTATCGATCGTGAACAAAATTGAAGCATTGGAAATGTGGGTTCATTGACGAATGCTGAAGATACCTTGGACGGCTAGGAAAACTAATGAAGAAGTACTAAGGAGCGTCAACAAAAATAGAGAACTGCTAAAGACTGTTAAGCATCGAAAAATGTCTTATCTGGGACATATAGTAGTTGATATAAAATATTACAACTGATCCTCTAAGGCAAAATGGAGGGCCGTAGAGGTGTAAGAAGAAAACAAGTTTCTTGGTTAAAAAACATTCGTGAATGGACTCAGATATCAAATGCAGGACAATTATTCCATATTGCAGAAGATCGAGAAGCCTTCTCAATGGTGATCGCAAACGTCGGATAATTCTGATATGGCACGTGAAGAAGAAGAATACAACATAAGAATTTGGTTCAACAATATAAATGGTTGATAATTGAATCCAGTAACAACAAGGAAATAATAAAGAAGAGCAGCAACACATTGAGAAGTAGCAGATTCATTCGTATGAGGAAGAAATGACAGTGAATAGTCCTCTCACCAGCCAGGAAGCAAGGCTTTCGTACAAAGCAATGTAGACAGTATGACTGCAGCAGTCAGTACTTTAAAAGACATAGTAAATAAAGTAGACAATTCTCAAGAAACACCTGACGAATTTGAAATATTTGGCGTGTTACAGCTCATTTAAGACAGCTTCCACTGTAAGGCTGCCTTAGAAAGCTAGTCTGCAATTAAATTATTTAGTTCAGAGAAGATTGGGACACAAAGCAGCTGTATCCAACGTAACCATTTCACCATCCAGTTCAAGTGCTTCTTCATGTTTCAGAATAGACTTGTGTGGATAATGTTATTCCACCAATCGTACAAAAATAATACTACACTGAATGTGAACCTTCAGATATATTATATGCAGCTTGGACCAACATGTACTCAGCCTTATTGTAAAAGATTTAATAATATTTGTAGATAATATATAAATGTATTATTTACAATTGTAATATTGCAAAAATAAAATTAGTATCTTACCTTTATGTATTTTTTCATTGCTTCATAAATAGCCTCTAACTTCCGTGATAAATTTGGAAATACTACTTTTGAGAATTCTATATATGTGTACTGTAAAGATGCAAATGAATCTCCAGAAGCCAAAAATCTCTTAATTTTACAAGAGTTGATATATATGGCATCTCTAATGCGAGTATCTGACTTTCAGATTTTATTATATATTACTATACATTCTAATAATCACTCAAACTGGTCTTGAGTCACTCAGATGATTCAAATATACTTCCAGGTCTTCATGAGCTAACTCTTCTATTAAACTATTAGATGTCCCTAACATAATTCGATGTAATATCCATGGACAGACCAACCATCTTCACTTTCTGCAATGTTTTCTCCAGTATTTTTTGCATTACTAATGCTAAAATTTATAATACTTGCACATATAAAAATAAAAATACTTGCACATAATATTGCAGTTGATATCATTTAAAAAACAACACTCATTTAAAACAACAGAAATGTGTGAAAACCAATGCTGGTGCCAATAGTCAGTGCATGTGGAAACCCACCTTAACCCCAGTTTATGGTTCAACTGTTGCCAACATTGAATATGTCAAACCAGTTGTTTACCTATAACAAATTAAAAACAATTTGTAATTTATGTTGCCCTTACAAATTGTAACACTTCCAATTTGTGTCTTAAGACCAAGCATTTAGCACCTAGTTTGATACAGTATGGGAGAATAATTTTGCAGCATATTTTACTCTCTGTCTTTGAGCTCCTCTTACATTGAACTTCTCTTTGTCTGTTTTGTGTGGAATTTTTAAATCTGAATCTGTTGTAGCACCAAGAACAGATTCAGCACAGTCTTTACATAGTTCTTTTTCATTAAAAATAAAGTCTTTACCCACAAAATGATTTCTGATTAGCTTTAATAAACATAAACATTTTCACCCTTGTGTGGGTTTTAAAAGTAAGGTTTGGATTCTGAAATTTCTAATTCAGTGTGCAGTCCTCGATTTCCACTCCCCAAATCATAAACCATAGTTAAAACTTGGAAACCTAGAGAAAATTTATAAGTAAATATAAGTGCCCAAATATGATATGGTGGTACTCACCTGCCTCTTCTACAAATGTAATATTCTCAGATAGAATGAAAAAAGTCATTTTTGTGTCATAATTGTAATGCATCCACTGTTTAAATAGACCTGTCAACAAAATATGACTTTCACATATGCAACTGCAATACTTGGTCCTCACATTTATCATAGACATACTCTTTTTTTATTTACATACATACTTTATCTTTTCTGCTAAAACTAGAGTATTCTACAATTTTTGTTGTGTGTTTTTCAGTACCTGACTGTATTTTAATTTGTTTCAGCCATGATTGCAATGTACTACTACTGGATATGGAAAATCTCCTTTTATCATAAATCTGTAAGCTTGAGGTCCAGCTGAATATAATGCTATGACTTTTAAAAATTCGGATGTAGACCACACTATTAGTTTATTTTTAATTTTTTTTCCAGGCCGAAATAATATTTTCCAATGTAGATACCTTTGCAGTTACTGCATTTAGTTGTTGCTTTAGAAGTAAAATTTCATTAATCAATTCTTGATTCTGGTTCATTAGTGGTACTGTTTGTGTGCTAAAAATATTTAATTTTTAATATTAATTTATAATTACCACAAATTCAATATTAATTTTGTTTTGGAGCACTCTGACGCATTCTATAATTTTAAATTTGAAAATATAAATTTTAGATGAATTTACCTTTTCTCTGCAGCATTATTGCTAAAACCATTACCCCGAATAAAACTTTGAGAGTTATCTTCAAGGACTTCTTGTTTAATGTTAGCCAAAAAACCTTCACATTCACTAAAAGAATTAAATATTAAAGGTACAAACATGCAATAAGTAAGAGATTGCTAAGAAATTGTATTTTTTCCTAATTTTCAAGGCACTGACAAAGCCAAAAGGCCAGTTATGATTTCTCATCCATTGTTTACATTATATTATATACATGTTAAATTGGGATACAATAATTTTAGTGTGTTATCTTTTTTTTTAACATTGTAACTTTTCTTTTTATTATTAATTTTTTATTATTATTTTATTTTTTGTTTAATATTCATTTGTTGGTTTTTTTTGTATATTGTTTTTTTTTTCATTTTAGGCTTACAAATGTATTCACGTGTCGCAATACTCTTTACAAAGTAATATTAGCAGATTTTACATAATGATATATGATGTAGATACTATTATCCTCTAATGTCAATAGATTTGAAACATTTATATAAAAGGAATTCTAAAAGAATATGTTATAAATCAGCAATTTCATCACATGGACATTTATTATTATGTAACAAATCTATTTTATGTTTATACACCGGCAATAGTGCATGATTGCAGGACATTCCAATTATTATCTGAATAATTGAATGATTATGTGTATTCTCAAACCATTGTTTGTCCCTTATTTTTGATTGTATATTCTTAAAAACTGTTCTTTGTCTCCATATTTATATTTTATCTGCCACTTTTCCTTAGTTCCTTTCGAAAAATTTAAATAAAATCAGATTCTGGTATTTTTAACCTGTGTTCTTCCATTTTTCACACCATCTTTTGTTAACAAGTCCACTTCTTCATTTTCTTCTATACCTGAATGGGCTTTTATATATGATATATAAATTTGTTTTCATCTACTTGATACATTTTGATACAATTCCCAAATATCAAGAAGGATGTAATTGAAATTAGGATTCAAACACAGATTAGTAAGTTTTTCTACCAAACTTTTAGAGTCTGTAAATATGACAAATTTATCCTCTTCTTGTTCTAAACACAGATTCAATGCTAATTGTATGGCATGAAATTGTAGAGAAGTTTATATCTCTATGAAAACATCCACCAAATTCTAATATATCTACCTATTTTAGAGAAAAACAAAAATTACATTTAACTTACCTGCTTAATAATTCATCAAAGACTTCAAGTTTCACCATAGGCAAATTCTTGTTGGAAACATTTTGTGTGCTAAAAATATTTTGTTTTTAATATTAATTTATAGTTACCATAAATTCAATATTAATTTTGTTTTGGAGCAGTCTGACACATTATATAATTTTAAATTTGAAAGCAGAAATTTTAGATAAATTTACCTTTTCTCTGCAGCATTATTGCTAAAGCCATTACCCTGAGTAAAATTTTGAGAGTTATCTTCAATGCCCTCTTGTTTAACGTTACCTCCAGAATCTTCACATTCGCTAAAAGAATTAAATATTAAAGGTAAAAACATGCAATAAGAGATTGCTAAAAAATGGTATAGAAGCCTATATCTCTATAAAAACGTTCACCAAACTTTAATATTTAAACCTATTTTAGAGAGAAAAAAAAATTACATTTAATTTACCTGCTTAATAACTCATCAATGACTTGTTTTCTTTGGCTTTTTTTTAATGCACTACCGTGGCCTATCCTAGAAACTTCAGGTTTCATCGTGGGCAAATTCTTGTTGGGAACAACATCTTTTTTCAAGCCCCGATAATTTTTCGGGCGATAATTCAGCAGTTGATGCTTAAGATTTGTATAAAAGTCAGTCTCGGCAAAATGCTTTGAACAAATAGAAGCCGTCTTTGAGTTAAATTTATCTTTCCTACCGGTAGCGTGCACCCATTGCTTTATTAGATTTTCCTCTTTAGGGAAACGAAAAAACCTCGTGTTAGGGCAAGGATTTCGCTTGCTCTGGTTATCAGAGGAACAACCAAATACTGCACAACGCATATCTTAGAATTAAAAAAAAGAAAAAAACTCCGAAAGGACGATTTTTACATTTGGTCCCAGTGAAGATAGCCTCAAATTAGCTGTCAGTGTCACTGTCAATGTCAATCAATTAAGTTTCACAGAACGAAATATTGCGTTGGCAGTGTTGCCATGTTCTTATAATGTATGCTTCAAATACAAAGAGATAACATGGAAGTTATGTTTTTCCTGCATTGATCTCAATGTTACCTTTACTATATAATACAGCAGAAATAAAATCCAGTAAGACACAACCACGTTAAATGTATCTTAACACTTGTATAAGGGTTTTGGCTTCAAGTTGTATACTAAAAATCACTCAATAATATCTGTAGACATATAATATCTCAAGATATTAACATAAACTAAAGCACTAACGATATTTAACAACCAAATATATTCTCCAAACGGAAGCAATTCGTAAAATTGACCTCCTGAGTGACGTCACGCGTTATATTTCATTCTGTCAATGTCAGACTTACCATGCAAGCTCCCTTTTACTAACCTTGTGTCTGTGTTATGTGTTTCCTTCTAAAACATGGCGCGCGTGCTGAAAAACTTCAAAGGCGGCATCCAATCTGAGAGTGGGCATTCTGATTGTTTATTATTCTGTGATATGACATAAAAATCCGTACTGTCACTACTGTCAGTTAATTTGACATTTTTGAATTAAGTTAAATACACGTGTGTAAGCATTAGGTGCAGTGAAAAAGTGAAATAGGGTTAAATAAAATAATTATTGTTTAGTTAAACACAGGGATTTTTTGTTAAAATGCCGAAAGTAAGATCCACAACAGGAGCCCCTCGAAAGCAGGGGTTCAACAGATCGAATCATTCGATGAATCCAGAACGGCCAACTGAAGGATTAAAGGGGGTATCCAAAGTTAGAACTAAGGGAACAATAAAAAGACTACAGATGTATAGAAATTTTAAAGCTAAAAGGGACAAAACTGGTAAAATTCTTACACCAGCACCTTTTCAGGTAAATACTTTTTAAATCTCAGTCTTACATTTATGCTAAATCTAAATATCTTAGCGTTAAAAGTTGTTATTAGTAAGGATCGTCGGATCATATTATTCACTTTACAATGCATATTTTTCCATAGAAAATTCTAGTTTTAAGTAAGACTTTCATCTATGAATAAAATTCTGTGATTAGATACTGGATACTGAAAAGTATTTTAGGATATAGGATAATATTGTGCAAACACTTTTTGCCCCACCTTTTGCAATCATTGCCCCACTTTTTAATTATGGACATAAAACGTCAAATAAAAATAGCTTGAATAATCAAAATATGCAATTCTTTTTCATTAATACTATACAAAATTTTTATGGATGATGTCCATAAAAATGATGAAGTCCAAAGTGGAAAGTTTTTCATATATAGACAAAATAGAAATGCTAAATTGTGATAGGTTGATGTCTCCTGTTAAAAAGGTTCCATCCTGCAAATAACTCTTTATCACTATAAGTTTTGGAAAAGTATTTAGCAAATAAATTGACAATCTCCACGCCAGAAGAGCCAGAAATATTATTATAGTGCATAACAGAAGGAATATTATTCCTGTTTTTTTACTGTTAACAAATTTCCAGAAATTTTTAACATAATTTTTCAGAGGATTCAGTTCGAGCAACATAATCAAGATAGCATTGTTCTTTCAGTTGTTTACAGTTAGCTCGTAATAAAGAAAACTCATTATAGTCAGCAAGTAATTGAGATTTTAGATATTTTTAATGCATTTGCTTTTTTTGATTATTGTTTTTTAAGCTCTAGAGACAACCAGACAGAAAACTTTTTTGCTGAATACTTTTTCAGGGAAACAAAAACATCAATTGCAAGGTAAATAACATCATAAAACATGTTGATCATATCATCAACACTTTTATCTTTAAACCAATCATCCCAGTTAAATTGTAACAGAAAGTTTGTTACTTCCCATACACTCATTGAGCAAAAGTCTCTATAAAAGCCATCTCCAATCAATCCTGGCTCATTGAAATATTGAGATTCACATTTAAAACCAAATGAGAGTGGAGGATGATGCCTATCCTCTGGGAGTAGGTATACCTCAACCTCTTCATCTTGGACCATGACTAGATCTAATAAGGAGTTGTTTTCATTTTTAACAATGTTTACTTGATACAGATTATGAAAGGAACATAAAAATGAGAGGAATTGAATGGAATTGACTTTATTTGGTGAGGTTCCTGGTAATGGAGTAGCCACAGAAGACAATCGCATGACGCTGATCGGCGTCACATGTCAAAAACACATAAGCGTCAACATGTTTTTTGTGTCACACACAAAATTGGAATTCTGAAGTTAACCCCTAATCACAACCATCAAAAAACATTACCGCTCCTGGCAAATGTCGCAATTTAAAGTTAGCAGTGAAAGTGTTAACTCATTTTTCAGTGCATTGACCTCAGCTCATTGTTCAGTAGTTAAATCAGCTTCCAGAAATATTTTTAAACCTCTATCCAACTCCCTCTTGTTTCTCAATATCAACTGAACCATTTCAGGTGACTCTAGAGTTAGTCACAGTGATTGATACCCATTTTTATTTCTTTTACCAATTCTAGTTGAACTGACTATTTTTATATCAGAACCAGCTAAGCCCAACAGCATTTCCTTAGCTTTAGAGGTATCATCTTCCTCACCATATTGAGGCATATTAAAGATCATTTGCAACATCTCTTTTGTCTCTCAGACACTTCATACAAAACACTGTTGTGGACCAATGTGGGACTGTAATTATTGTCGTTTTGATCTGATGTAGAGGTGGTATTTTTTAAGAAGGTAATGTCTTCAAATGAGGTAGTAAAACTGGTTTTCAAACTTTTGACTTCATTGTTTACCTCACGAATCTGTTCTTCAAACTCTTCCATTTTTTGACAGTTTGCAATTTTGTTTTCACTTAGTGTATCTTCTAATGCTTTTACACTGTAGTTTAGTGTAACTGCCTTTTTGATTTCTGGCATGCAGTCACAACACAAATATGGCATAATTCGGGTAGCCAGAAGTAGACAACTTATCTCTGTCAAGCTAATTCCAGTGCAGTTTTTGCATAAAACATTTTTGCAAATGTCACAAGGGTAACCAAAAACATCCTCTGTACCTTTATTAGGTTCTTTAAAAACACAATTCTTGGAACATTTGGCACATGTCACAGCCACCTTTGGTGGCTGTGCACATGTTCTTGCCATTTATTAAGGTTATGTCAAAAACTCATTTTTTAGTTTATTATTTTGGTACATTCTTAATAATAAAACAAAAGACCTTAAATTAATGGTTATTATAAGTTATAGTAAAAAATAAAATATTGAAATATAAAAATAAAAAACTTCTTTTTTAGTTTATTATTTTGGTACACTTTCACTGCTCAACGCATTTTCATGAAACCAACCGCTGTGCTGACTAGTATTTTTTTTTAAATATTGATGCATTAATAAAGTATATATTAAATAAAGGGTAATTTAAACAAATTTTTATATTTTATGCGAAAAGAAGAAAAGACTCGGATCCGAGTCGTGAGCATATTGTTTATATTTTCTTTATTTGTGCTAAGCGACTCAGATGTGAGTCGCTGTTATAATTATTCAAAAAAATTAATTTAAATTAATTTTTTATTAAATCAAATGAGAAATATAAAAAATCGGGAACTAAGGAAAAAAAAAACAAATTTTTATTTCCTAGCAAAATGTTTATGAACACCTAAGATGAAAACTTCAAAATAAAATTGGATGGTACTTTTTCATGATGTTCATATTGTAATGGCTTTTATACACTGAAATTAAATTAAAAAAGAACATGAAGAAAGTAGAAAATTAATAAAAAATTCTCAAATTTAAATTTATCTCGAAAACAAAATATGATCTGGAATTTTTGTATTTTTTTAGCTCTTCTGTTGTATTCTACGTTATTTCACTTATTTCAACAATACTCTGTATAGCATTTTGTTAGAGGATTCCAACTTAGTACTCTCAGCATTGTAAAAGTTTCCAAGAAATTAATATCCGATGGAGTTTTCAAAACAAGCAAAATGAAAGTCAGAATATTCAACGGCTTGTGGCCAGTTACAATATCTGCCTGTTATGCTAATTAGTAATTAGAATGTCAATATCGGCAAAACCAGCTTATTCAAATTATGGGTACCTACCTATTATAGTTTTTTGTTGAAGAATTTCAATTTATCATAATATGTAAAAGTTCTCAAGAAATTAATATAAGGTTCAGTTTTCAATGAAACAAAGATCTAATCTTTAACAGAATTGTGACCATGTAAAATATCTGCTTATTATGCTAATTAGTAATAAGAAAGTCAAATCAGCAAAAGCAGCTTATTCAAATTATATCTATAGTCTTTTGTTGAAGGATTTCAATTTTTTACCCTTAGCATTTGTGAAAGTTTTCAAGATATTAGAAATTAAAAGGTCTTTAGAAAATAAAATCTTTATTTAAACTAATATACTGAAGACAGTCTATCTTTTCGTTGAATGGTATTTGTGAAAACAATCTCCTATGCATAGTCCAGGTTTTTCATCACAATCAGCACACTCGTAAATTGTGTTTTTCCTAATTTTATGGATGGAACATATTCTACATCGTTTCATTTTTTGTTTCTCCCTTTTCAGATTTACTAGCAATTACTTTAGGCAAATGTTCGTGAGCAGGATTACATTCTTTAGTTTTATTTGTTTTATGAAGTAATTCGTGAATGACTTCTAGGCGAAAATCTGAGAGGGGGAGTTTTGTTCCAAAATATTTATTATATAGAAAAAATGAGTTAAGCAACATTACCTGGAAAAAGTGGAGCCTAGTTTCTTATACCACTGTAACGTTTTTCTGAAACATGGGTAGTATGACAACATTTGATCTTGTCTATCTATACCTGCCATGTACTGGTTATATTTCAATATTGGTAATGGTCTGACAACATTCCATCCTCTCCTGGTTGTATGTTTGGTCAAAGTATTTG